TGCCCAGCTAATGTTTTGTATTTTTAGTAGAGACGGGGTTTCACCATTTTGACCAGGATGGTCTCGATCTCTTGACCTCATGATCTACCCGCCTCGGACTCCCAAAGTGCTGGGATTACAGGCGTGAGCCACCGCGCCCGGCCTGAGACGGAGTTTCGCTCTTGTTACCCAGGCTGGAGTGCAATGGCGCGATCTCGGCTCACCGCAACCTCCGCCTCCTGGGTTCAAGCAATTCTCCTGCCTCAGCCTCCTGAGTAGCTGGGATTACAGGCACGTGCCCCCATGCCCAGCTAATTTTTTGTATTTTTAGTAGAGACGGGGTTTCACCATGTTGACCAGGATGGTCTCGATCTCTTGACCTCGTGATCCACCCACCTCGGCCTCCCAAAGTGCTGGGATTACAGGCTTGAGCCACCGCGCCCGGCCAGAAAGTGTTTCTTAAATCTGAGATATTTGTTGACTCAGGGACCCACGTGAAGGACCTATCTTCCCAAGGAGAGGATGGACTGGCCCTCTATACTCACCAATCATATCAAGCAGATCCTCTGTGACCTCTTGGTTAGAATTGTTGAGTGGCATGTTTGAGTCAGCCTTCAAATCTCTCTCCATATCTTTCCTATAGCCCCCAGGTGGGGAGGGGGAGAAAAGGTGGGGAATTAGATTCTCTTTCAAGAAAATATTGAAAGGAAACTCAGTTTTAGATAATCTCAAAGACAGAAACTTAATGGTGACCTTGTCATTTATGCTTTGATTAGAGGACAATCAGAAACTGCCACATCAGTGGAGAAATTGACTAACAGCATTATAATGACTCATGAGCATCACGGGCTGTATTAAATTTTTTTCTTTTTTAGAGACAGGGTTTTGCCATGTTGCCAAGGCTGGTCTCGAACTCTTAGGCTCAAGCCACCTCAGCCACCAAAGTGCTGGGATTACAGGCATAAGCCACCTCACCCAGCCTGTATTTTTTTTTGTTTGTTTAAGATGGAGTCTTGCTCTGTTGCCCAGCCTGGAGTGCTGTGGCAAGATCTCAGCTCACTGTATCCTCTGCCTCCTGGATTCAAGCAATTCTCCTGCCTCGGTCTCCCAAGTAGCTGGGATTACAGGCATGCACCACTGCACTTGGCTAATATTTGTATTGTTAGTAGAGATGGGGTTTCACCAGGTCCCAGCTGGTCTCAAACTCCTGATCTCAAGTGATCCACCCACCTCAGCCTCCTAAAGTGCTGAGATTACAGGCAGAAGCCAGCCAGCCACCGCACCCTGCAACGCCTGCCCTATTTATGAGTACTAATATAAATACTTGTGGAGTTGAAAGGAAAAAAAATTTTGTGGCGTTGAACCAGTTAAATGGGCTCTTTATTCCTTGCCTATGAAGCAGTCAAGATGGCAGAACTTTTGAAGTTTCATCTCACATGTTCATTCCTTCTCCAAGTCAAGGTGCCTGGGACCAGGCAATTTCAAGTTACTTGGGAGAAGAAAGTCTGGAGGAGACCTAGTGATGGTCCAAAAACCTCTGGGGTTAGAGTAGGGAGCAGAGGCAAGGATGAAGCCAGGAAGAAGGGCTCAGCTTTCAACTCACCCTCTCAGTAACATGGGCAAAGGAGGGTACCAAAGGCCCCAGTGTCCAGGTTCAAACACAGAAGTTAAGATGGAATTAAGACTTTTGTTTCTGCAACTTAAAAAATAAGGTTATTTTAAAAACCAGATTATTTTATATCCACTACCCCTTTGGGTACTGCAAAGTGGTTTCCATGACTGGTTTGACATCAACGATTGACAACTAGCCCCTCACCTGGGACACATACACAAAACATAACTGTTTCCTAGGCCAGATTTTGAAGAATGTCTATGAACTCCCCAAAAAAAGTCACAGAGCTGCCAAGAGGAGGCAAGAGCAGTCATGAACTAAATCTAGGATCTTCAACCATTTTTGCAGAAACAAGAATCCCCTAATTGTAGCTGTTAAGCTATCAAAATTAGAATCACCTGAAACTGTCTTTTCTCCAGTTTGTCCCCTCTCCTGCAGTTCTCCGAAACTCACTCTCAGGTGCCAAAATGGAGGAATGCATCAATACATTTTCCTTGCTGGTCAGAGGTTTTCTCTCAGGGCACAGAGCGTGTGGTTTTGCATTTACCGAGACACGGTTTGGTGCAAAGGCAGGGTTCTCATTCTCAGAAGCACAGGAGACAGCAGCAAAAGGAGCAGCAGAGGAGAATGCTGCCAGAGGATGTCTTCTGCAGAGGACCCTGTGCACGGGCAGCGAGAAGGAAAGCGGAGCGGGGCCCAGCTCCAGCCTCTGCTGGCCTGTGCACTCCTGGGAATTACTGACTCCTTCAAAGGCCCGGTCAATGGCTGCAGTCAGTTCCTTTCTGCATCTTCTTAGTTTTTCAGACATTTCTCCTAAAAGCGACCATGTCTTTATGTAATGCATTGGAAATGCACAGGGCAACACAAGAATGATGTTACAAATGAGGCTGTAAACCACCCCGAAATGGCCACGATTTCCTGGAGCGTGGCCCTAGCTATAGCAGGACCCACAACCCTCCGGCTTTCCTCTTGGAGTAGGCGGTTCTCTGCTCTCGCGGAGGAACCCGCGATCTGCCAGAAGCTCCATGAACGCCCTGCCCCGCCCCGCCTCCCCTCCCACAGCTTCCTAGCCCGCCCCACCGCGGCTCCCAGGCCGCCAGCCCTACCCCGCAACTCGCGGCCCGCCCTCTGACAGGTAGGCAGACGAGTCCTTGTTCTCACCCGCAGCGCTGCGACGCCGACCCTGCCAACGGTCACCGCACGCGCGCGCCCCAGACCGGCAGGCCCCGAACACCCACGGGTCAGGTTAAAGGTCAAACAAAAAAGCCCAGACCCGTACATCCGGTTAAGGTCTGGTGGCCCGACACGCAGCGGCCGGGCCCCCACTGGGAGTGGGGACGGGGCTTTCGTACTGGGGATCCCGGGAGAAGTCTTGGCAGGGTTGAGGAAAGAGCCTGGGCTGGAAAGTATCTGCGTAACACCAAAATGTATTACTACTCTAAATCCGCATAAACTGGAGCCCTTTCCGGGCTAACCGCTCCCACAAAGGTTTCTGTTCTCACGCCAACATGTAAACGACTGACGAACACAGCACCGGGCAGTTTTATGTACTGACTTCCTTTAAGTGTTATCTAATAAAAGTTCCACACAGTATTTAACTGTCTTAATTCATCTAGGATAGCGCGGGTCAACAGAACTGCTGGGTTCCATAGGAAGTTGAGGGGCCGGAGACCCCCAGCACTAAATATCTTCATTTCTTTAGCAGGGAGAAAGCTGGAAATTACAAGATGACTCAAAGGAGAAATGGGCTTCAGTGGCTAACTTTCAGAAAAGAGAGAGGGGAGTTTACTTGAGGCTTGGGTTACTGTGAGCAGACTACTTAGGTGACCAGTATCGGCACCAGAACCAGAAATCCAGGAGCTCAGGGCAGCCCTGCAGGTGGGGTGGGTCTCCAGGATCCTCCATACTCAGTGCCTGTGTTCCTCTCCATTCTTTGGGATCCATCAGACATACTCCATTGTGTAACCCCATCCCACCCCACTTCTCAGCTTCACAGGTTTCACAGAAATTTCTCACCACCTATTTAAAAAGAAAAATAATTCAGCCTCTTGACATAGCCTCTTCTAAGCAAACAGTCTTTTTTTTTTTTTTTTTTTTTCTTCTGCTCATGAAAGAAGGGAATTTCTTCATCTGGTTTTTAAACGGAACACTAGCAGTCTGCAGAGTGCCAAAGATGTTCTTCTGGGATTACGCTGGTGCTGCAGGGTGGCAGGATCGTGGAGTCAGCATCAGTTGGTGTCCATGCTGCAAGCCTCGTCATCCCCCAAGCCCTGCTGACAGCTGCTTCGTCGTGTCCCTCCATCAGAGGAACCAGAACTGCTGAGTGAAGGTGTCTTATAAAATTCATCATCCCGACGCTGGTAAAATAGCACATAAGCTGCTTTAGTCTAAAACACAAGAGGGGGAAAGACCATTCACTGGTTGGAAAAATCACCCATTTTCCCCAGCTTTTCTCTAGCTGTCCAGAACCTTCAAGATCTGCCATATCCAACATAGAGGAGACCCTTCCACCTAAGGATGGCTGCCCTGCCCCTGCCAGGGAGCAGGGAATGTAAGGAGCCCTGTGCAGAGAACTCTGAGGAGAGCTGAGCTTCTCATTTACAACGGTCCCTGAAGGAATGGCAGCCAGCTCCGTCACACCTAGCTCTCACTGTCACATCAGGATGATGAAATAACCAACTAGCCTGAGAGAGGCCCTTCCCAGCTTTAATCCATGAAGACAAAGAAGAACCACATATCATGGCCTACTCACCACGATCTGATCCTCAGAGGCCAACGACACGTTGCTATCATCAAAGTAATACCATTTCCCATTCAGTTTGTTCTTCGCATATGCAGTGTCTGCCAAGTCAACAAAGAAAATACTCCAGCACTCTCCAGAGGATTGATCAGGCTAGCTTATTAGGCTTGCACTAAATAAACACAAAAATCCCCAAAACAAAACCCCTGAAATTAAAAATAGTTTACAGTGTGTGTCTCAACCACCAAAAGACAACTCACCTTCTTTTCTAATCTGTTCCTTCTCAAAAAGGATCTAAAGGCTAAAAATGGAGCTGTCAGGGACCAAGGTTTTAAACTATAATTTTGGGAAACTAATCCAAAAAATAGAGCTGTTCAATGCCAATCTTCAGGATGGCTATGTGCAATAATCCAGAGCCAGGGAACCCATAAAAGGAGCTGCAACTTCTAAGATTTAAGCAAAACAACAGCTCTCACAAGGGCATGCCAAGTCAATCTCCCCCACTTCGTTCAGGCAGGTGGCCACTAACATCAGCAGAATGCTTACTGCCTCTGGAGCCTGCAGAATTATCCCAGTTAGGGGAACATTGGGTGTTTGGGTTTGCAGAGCTGGGATGTGAACAACATGTCTTAAAAATTTATCTTTCTCTAAAACTGGGTCCAGAGTCTGTGGTTGGGTAACAGTTTCCCACAATGATTCAAGCATTTCCCATAGGCAATGCTTCCTGTCTTGATTTTACACTATTCCCAAGTAGGATGTGTTTATTACAGCAATCCCAGCCCAGTTCCTACTCCATCCAGACTTTCAGAAACTACAGAATCCAATGGAGATCGGATTTCCAGTGTCAACTTACTGTGTGGCTTTAGGTAAGGTGTTGAACACTTCAGCCTCAGTTTCCTCATCATAGCGTTGACTGCACAAAGTGGTGGTGAGGAACATGGGGAGGGAAGGGCAACAGAGAAGGTGCCCAGGCTTCGCACAATAGCAGCAATGGAAGGAGCCCTGTGGTGGCTTTCAATCGAAGTTCTCACTGTAGGTCCAATGTGGACCCTCACACAACCAGCCTAACCTCATGGATGAGAAAACTGAGGATGAGAAACTTGCCCAAATGGTATGTTTGTGTGCAAAAATTAGCAATTAAAAATGAACACAGGCTGGGCATGGTGACTCACACCTGTAAACCCAGCACTTTAAGAGGCCAAGACAGCGTGAATTGTTTGAGCCCAGGAGTTTAAGACCAGCCTGGGCAACATGGCAAAATCCCGTCTACTAAAAATACAAAAATTAGCCAGGTATGGTGGTGTGCGCCTGTAATCCCAGCTACCTGGGAGGCTGAGGCAGGAGAATCCTTGAACCTGGGAGGCAGAGGTTGCAGTGAGCCAAGATTGTGTCACTGCCCACCAGCCTGTGTGACAGAGCGGAGAAAAAAAAGCAAATCTTATAGAAATTTTGCAAAAAAACTTGAGCAAAGAGGAAAAAAGTAAAATTAACATTTTGGTGTCTCTCCTTCCAGGCTCACATCCCTCAGCCCATCAGAGTTTCTTTGCTTATTGGTTAATACAGTTGTGATAATATGTCTTGTAAGGATATAATTTTGTGTAGTAGTTTTTTTTGTGTGTGACAGAGTTTTGCTCTGTTGCCCAGGATGAAGTGCAGTGGCACAATCTTGGCTCACTGCAACCTCTGCCTCCTGGGTTCAAGTGATTCTCCTACCTCAACCTCCCGAGTAGCTGGGACTACAGCTGCATGCCACAATGCCCAGCTAATTTTTGTATTTTTTTTTTTTAGTAGAGACAGGGTTTCACCATATTGTTCAGGCTGGTCTTGAACTCCTGACCTTGTGATCCGCCCACCTCGGCCTCCCAAAGTGCTGGGATTACAGGCATGAGCCACCGAGGCCGTTTTTCATTTAACATACCATGAGCATTTCACCAGGTTAGTACTAATTTAATTTTTATTTATTTTTTATATTTTTAAGATAGGTCTTGCTCTGTTGCCCAGACTGGAGGGCAGTGGCACAATCATGGCTCACTGCGGCCTCAATCTTCCAGACTCAAGGGATCCACCAGCCTCAGTCTCTCAAGCAGATGGGACTACAGGGGTGCTACCACATCTGGCTAATTTTTTTTTTTGGGGGGGGGGGACGGAGTTTTGCTCTTGTTACCCAGGCTGGAGTGCAATGGCGCGATCTCGGCTCACCGCAACCTCCGCCTCCTGGGTTCAGGCAATTCTCCTGCCTCAGCCTCCTGAGTAGCTGGGATTACAGGCACGCGCCACCATGCCCAGCTAATTTTTTGTATTTTTAGTAGAGACGGGGTTTCACC